AACTTATAGAATTTGTTTAAAAAATTTTTATTAAATTTGATCAAGTTTTGGTTAAGTTATTGGTATATAAAGTTTTTCAAAAAATTCAATAAAAACAATTTGCTTGATTTCTATTGACTCACTCCCATATATGAAGAAATTTTGACATATAAAAATTTTTGTGGATGGATAAAGAGATGGCCAAAAATTATGATTTAAATCAAATTTTGTGATTTATGTCAATCTGCGCACAATAACAGAATTACAAAATCACGAGATTTCTTTAAAAATTCATTCATATACAGTATATATTCTTTAGTCGGGCAGTCACTAAATTGTGCATGGCACCCAGATATATATGACTTATTAATACAATATTATATCGAAGACGTAAAACATCTTGCTTGTCTTAATCGAGTCAAAAACATTAATATTAAAGCAAGGCCCATGAAATTAAAAGGGAGAGATACAGATTTTTTAGAACTTTGATTTGTTAAGCCACCAAAAAAAGAGATGTCTAATTTATGTTTAAACATTAGACAATTCTATGAATTTATTAACGAAATGCCATTCCCTTCTTATTATAAGGTCCTTCAAACTCAATTAAAGGTTGCAAAAATCAAAGGTTCAAATGAGACACATTCGAAAATTGGATTTTGAATATTAACAAGATATACATCGTGAATACCTAGACAATGTAATTTCTGGATTATATGCATTTTCTAGAAAAATATTCAAATGCTTTTCCTCAATAATTACCCTTTATCCTGACCTAACATAGACACCCCTACTAGATATGTTGAAAAATTTATACAAATATTAGCTTTGCGAAATGGTATTAAAATAGAAACTACACAAGCATTACAACAATTAATTAACCAAAGTCCATTAGCTGTAGTCGCTGATGCTCCATCATTTATATATAATTACTGGAATAGTGTAAGCTTGCGGATCTCGCTGGCATAGAACGATGGTATTGTAATAGAATTTCCTTTTTCTTATTTTTCTTGATTATTATTATTATATTTTATTCATATATTCTAGTTAATT